AATTCTACACAGTATTGTTCAGGAAATATAAGAAGAGGGAATGCATCCCAACATTTTTACACAGCCTTATTACTACTAAAACCAGGTAGATGTAGTACAAGAAAAGAAAACTTTGATCAAGACTTTCATGCAAATATTTTCCACAGAACATTTAGATAACTCAATCAAGCAATATATAAAAGAATAATTCACCATGATAAAGTAGAGTTTATCCCAGAAGCATAAGATTGGTTTAATATTCAGAAGTTCATCAATATAATTCATCATATTAAGAAATTAAAGAAGAAAAAACACACTGTCAGATAAATTGAGAAAAATGGGGGAAGCTGGCTCTCCTGCCATGAGGACACTCAGGCAGCGCTGTGAAGAGGAGTCCATTTGGCAGCACCAGCTCGCCATCCATGCCATGCACATGCCATCAATGTGAATAAGACACTTTGAAACTGGATCCTCCAATCCCGGTCAAATCATCAAATCACAGTTGACCCAGCCAACATTGACTACAACCTTCTGTGAGATTAAGAGCTAAAACTGCCCTACAAACACACTTTCAAATTCCTGACTCAAACAAAATAAGATATATTATTATTATTGTTTGATGTCACTAAGTTTGATATATTACGATGTAATAGGCATATATACAGGAGTATTAATAATGAGGGCTCATAGTACATAAATTGGTAAGAGAGATGTGAGGAAATAAAGGCAAACTGATTTTAAGAAAATGTTGCTAGTGTCAATAAATTGTAGATCCCTGTCAGGATGGAGAATTGCTGGAGTAGGACGTGGTGAACAGAGAGTAAGATGCTTGAAGTAGAGTTTCCAACAGTAATGCGTATATTAGAGCTGACAAGTCAAGGGTATGTTCATAAGAATCCATGACAACTGGAGTAAAGGAGCAAATCAGGAATCAAGAAGGTGAAGAACATGAAAGACCATTATGTTTAATGGATCATGAGTGTAGTTGAAGCAGTTACTCATCATCATGTCTAAAGTGGGTGTATGCTTTTTTTTTCTGTTTGTTCTTTTGTTCGTTTGTTTGTTTAATTGCTTGTTTTTAAATGAGAGCCATCTCACCCAACCAGAAAGACTGTGAGAGGAACCTGAAGATGATCATCATGAGGGGAGGGTGAATTTTGTGTATAAAACAAATAATAACATAGACAAAAATACAAGTAGAGCAGTAATTTTTCACTGCTGAAAAAATATTTGGATTACAGATATTTCGAGAAAAGGCTTTTACATGCAAAAATAGCCATGCAATCTCAGGGGTTCTACTTTGAAACATGTCGTCAAGACCACTGAGTAAGATTAAAAAAAAAAAAAAAAAGAAAAGAAAGAGGGTTAATAACAGGTTGGTGCCGTCAGAACAAAAGATGTTACTAAGTATATACAAATGGGCAAGATGTTTACATGTTTCATTTTAGAAGGGTCCATAATCGTGAGCAGGGTTACCAAATGTATTGTAAATGGTTTACAGGAGTCATAATAACAATAATGAATTTAGCCAGGGACGGTGGCTCACGTCTATAATCCTAGCATATTAGGAGTCTGAGACAGAAGGGTCACTTGAGCCCAGGAATTCAGGACAAGCCTGAGGAACATAGCAAGACCCTGCATCTACAAATAATAATAATAATAATAATAATAATAATAATAATAATAATAAAATGGCCAAATATGGTGTTGCATGCCTCTAGTCCTAGCTACTCAGGAGGCTGAGGTGTGAGAATCCCTTAAGCCCAGGAGTTCGAGGTTACAGTGATCCACTCCACCCCAGCCTGGGTGACAGCAAGACCCTGTATCAAAAATAAATAAATAATAACAGTAGTAATAATGAACTTGTAGTTCTAATGGCATATTCAAAGCCATTGTGAAGATCACTGTGGTGTTCATTTAGTACTGTCTGACAGAAAAGCAAATATATTAGTGAGACACAGGTTATAAACCATCTAATATGTGGGTAGAGTTTTAAACAAGGCATGCATTTATATGATTAGTATGACAGATCAGAGAGTCAGTAGGATTTAGTGATGAGCTACATAAATAATGAAATAGTTTTAGCAAATTATAATCAAACATGCATGTTGAAGGCTTTTCTTTTCTTCAATGTTCAATTAGGTACTCAATTGACAGAAACACAGACTTGGAGAGATACTTCAATATTGATGCCAACAGTGGGGTCATCACAACTGCCAAGTCTTTGGATCGAGAGACAAATGCTGTTCACAATATCACAGTACTTGCAATGGAGAGCCGTAAGTTGTGAGGCTTAAAACTAAATTAAGATGGAGGACAGTGAGTGGAGAATCGATTGTCATGAGGTTGTAAATTCAACTTAATTAAAATAGTTCCTTATATGAATTGAACGAAAACTTGAGAATACCAAATTTCTAAGTTGTGAAATATACTTATCTTCACTGTCTTTGTATGCTAATAATTACAAAATTTATGAAAACCAAGGACTAAAAAACAATGGCCCTATAGTGCCCTCACAGGATTTCTTGTTTTCTGATCACAATTCATATATCATGTTAATGCTGTTATGGAGTTAGTGAAATAGCTTATAATAATGAGTACATTGATCTATAACCAAGACATCTGGATTTGAATATTCTGATATTAACTAAGTTTAGTCCCTCATAAAAAATAAAATAAAATAATAAGTAATAAAAACTATTGAAAATGGAATGCATATTTGCATGTATATATGTATATGATATATTGTGTATTTTAATATGTATGCATTTATAATACATGTGTTGATAATACAAATGTATAGTCATGCAAATATGAGTTCTAACATCAAAGAATATTGAAATGCATGGTTTACCATTTATTCTTCTTTCAACAATTTTCTCATCAGGGACTAAAAAACTACAAGTACACATATAGACTATAAATATACATTTATATATATACATGTATATCCAAATACACATATAATCATGCATATGTATATATTTGGGTATACATATGTATGTATACATACACATATATGTATACACATGTATGTATATGTGTATATATATACACACATATATACATATATACATACATATGAATGTATGTGAGTGTGTATTTGGATTATATTTTCAATTTTCCATAGGTCCTTTTAAGTAATACAGCATTATGATTCTAGATTTCATTCTCAGCTTAGTCATTTTATTATTAGAATTGTGCTTTAGAGGGGCAAAGCGTAAATGATAAGACACTGTCTTATTTATTAGAGAATCCATCTCAAGTAGGAAGAGGCTATGTGGCCATCACTATTCTTGACATCAATGATAACGCCCCTGAATTTGCCATGGACTATGAGACCACCGTCTGTGAAAATGCCCAGCCAGGGCAGGTAAGAGTCTTCAGAACACTTTGCTTCTAATTTGTGGTTTCTTAAAAAATATCCAGCAGCAGTTAGTTGCCTTTGAAATTCTTCCAGCTTTAAGATAAAACATAATCATCTTGTTTCAGCAAAACTAACACTTTGATGTGTAGCATGAACTAATATTAAAGGAACCTTCAAATTCCAGCTTAATTGGGGTGATGAAAATTCCTCAGGAAGAAAAGGTAAACGTTGTAAAAGCTCTGTTAAATGGCTAAGAACTTAGACTCCTTTAGGAGAAAGATAGCATAGTACGCTGATTGGGCTGTTTCCACCTTACACAACCAGGTTTAAGTGTCTTACAATTCTAAGAATTAAGTGCAGTTCAATCTCAGGTTGGTTTGTTCATCTATTGTTCAGTGTCTTGTGATGTTTCCCGGGATGTCTAATCGATTGGAACAGCTTATTTCTGAAGTTCACAAAAGTGAATTCAAACATGAACTAAGAAAAGGACATGATTTGTTTTTCCGAGCCCTTTTTTAGATTGGGTTCCTAATAATACATTTGATCCTTTCTCCCTAGCTCATTCAGGGAGATGGTATTTATTATAAAGTGTAAAACTGCTTTGTCCTGACACAGAAAACTAAGCATAGCACACCAGTGTGCTTTCAACTTTTACTTTCTCTTTTCCTAGGTTATCCAGAAAATCAGTGCTGTGGATAAAGATGAGCCATCCAATGGACATCAGTTTTACTTCAGCTTAACAACGGATGCAACAAATAACCACAACTTTTCATTGAAAGATAACAAAGGTAAGGTATTAATATTGTTACTGATAGAGGCAGCAGGTCCAGGTACTCTAAGCAAGTATTTTTCTCCCTCAGGAATACTGATTATGGATTTTTTTTTTTTAAAGCAAAGACATTAATTAAAGGGCAATGAGCACCTCAAGTAATTTTTATCTATGGATTTACTGTCATGAAGGAAAAGGTGCTATTTAACTTATTTTAGGCCTAAAGCCAAATAGGAGGGAAAGTTAGATTTTTCTTATTGTTTTCTTATAGGCACTCATTTTTTTACTTGTGTACCAAGTTAATTATCCAAATAATATAATAAGTTGATGGTCAACTAAATACCCTAATAAGTACTATGCTCATAGATGCAACTTGAGACATAAGAACTGGACATTACACATTTTAATCTAAATCAGCTTTGACTTAATGTTTTCAATAATAACACCCCTTACTCTTTTATTTTTACATAAATGCAAATGTAATTCATGCAAATAATAATAAAATAATGACATATTTATGAGCTAAGAAATATTTAAAATAACAAAATGACTCCCTCTCATGTCAGATTGTATTTCTCTGCTTCAAAGGTAAACAGTCTTAGCGGTTTCCTAAATATCATTATAGTAAAAAAACACAAATACCGATAAGTAGATTTTAGTTTTGCATAATGTTATATATTGACAATTATGAGAACGTAAAGCATGAGAACCTGCTATCATTGTCTAATTTTGAATTATATATTTGTATGAGTTTTTATTCAAGATATTTATTTTAGAGGAAGGAGAGCATTTGAAACTGACGTAGAGGGTGAAGAGTACCCCCCAACAACATGGAAAATACCTATTTTTAAAAATTTATATTGTTTATGTAAATCTGGTTTTACGGAAAAATACAGAAGTGGATTTGCTAGTCAGTACTGGCTTGTTTAAAACACACTTACTACCAAAAGGTGGACAAGAACTTTTGCCTGAAGCCATCACCTTATTTAGCGCAACCTAGGCCTCAACAATTCAATCGGAAAATAATAATTTTTCCTGATCTTATTTCCTACTCAATGAGAATACTATTGTGTCCCTTTAGTAATATAAAAGGTAGAGCATTCTCTACATGGGTAACTCCAGACTCACTGACTTAGACATAGTTAAGAAGGATAATTCTCAGCATTTAGATTCGTCTGGTACAAATGCAGAGAAGGGAATTTATGACCTTCACAAGGAGAATGTGAATATATCCCCCATGTGTCATCATCCAATACCACCATGATTGCTGTACAGCACGTGCACTAAAATGTCTGCATCTATAGGACATCCACATTGCCACACAATTGAAAAATTATCTACTTTAAGCCCAGAGCTCCCTTGACTGTACCTTGAAGGAAAACAAATGAATACAGAGAAAGTCAGTTCTTAAGAAGTCTTCCATAGGATCGCTTTTCTGAATATGGAGTCATATTCTCACTTTTTAGGCATTTCAGCTTGTGTTCCTCAATTGTGTGTGTGTGTGTGTCATTTTGATATCAGTCATGTTAGATTACAAATCAACTTTCTAAAACTTTTTGTATCAAGTCATAAATGCATCTGACATCTGAATTGGTAGGAGGCAAAGGCATAAGCCTGCATGCTATTGTGAAATGTACAGGAACTTACTGAAAACCATATCCTTCAACAACTCTAGCTTAATTTTTTATTGAATACCTTCTCGAATTCATACATTTTAAAATAAAAGATTTGTTTACATAAAAATCTACCAGATGGAATCTGAAAATCAAATCATTTTATTACTGTCTCTTCTATAATTGCATGTAATACATTTTCTGCAGTCTAATATGAGCTTGCTGTTTTGTGCTGTTTGAGACAGATTTCATCTTGCTGTTTCACTAGAGTACCATTAATTTTTTCATGCTATCATTGAATAAATCTTTTTGACAATTTGGAAGAGAGAAAAATATATAAAAGCACACTGCATGAAACTCTGATCCTGATTTTTCTTCTTTTCCTTTATATTTTTATTAATAGCTATTAATTTTAAAAATCTCATAAATACTCTAATTATTTAATTAAGACAAGTTATTTGGAAAACTGCTAACGGAGACAAAACATATTTTTTATATATAAATCACACATGTTATAAAGACTTATTGATCACTTTTTTAAAGTTTATAATTACTATAATTGCTTAGATGAAATCAAATATTGAATACAAATTGAACATAAGTGGCCTGTTTTATCACTGACAAAATGTTTATACACATAGAGTAGCTATAAATACGAATATAGAATTTTTAAAATTTTACAATAAAATTATTCTGAATACCCCTGTATATTCAATTTAAGTAAAGTTAAAATAGCTGATTTTACCCTTTTTAAATATTGGTCTTGAAACCTGTCAAAAAAAGGATAGATTGAAAATTTTATCTGTACTATATGATGCTGCTGCAAAATATTTAAGCTGTTAATATGTACCATCCTTTCTATAAGTTTATGGTGTAAAATCTAAGATAGTTAAAAAGGTGTAGTTTTTATAAAGTTGCAATTAATGTAATAAGTGATGCATAAACATTTTTGTATTTTGTTTTACTTTATAACTATTTATTTTGTTATACTGTGTAGAATAACATAAGTATCTTATAATGTATTAAACTGGAAATGTCCCCCTGTCCCAGAGAACTCAAAGAAAATGGTTGAAATAAATCTGCAACTCCAGAGATTTCCCTAATTAAGGCATCAAAGAAAATAGAGTGACTTAAATAAAGTTTGGGAAGACTGATTCCATCAGAAATCTTGTGTTACACATTTGCTTTCGTTATCCTAGACAATACAGCCTCAATATTGACCAGGAGAAATGGCTTCCGGAGACAGGAACAATCGGTTTACTATCTGCCAATTTTCATTGTGGACAGTGGATCTCCTTCACTTAGCAGCACCAACACCCTCACCATCCGCGTGTGTGACTGTGATGCCGACGGCGTAGCCCAGACCTGCAATGCAGAGGCCTATGTCTTACCTGCTGGCCTCAGTACAGGAGCCCTGATAGCAATACTCGCCTGTGTCTTGACATTATTGGGTAGGTACTGTTTCCAGGGCTTGCTCTGAAAGAGCTCTCACAATAACCATGTGTCACGACTTGCCTATTTTCTTCTCCATTTGGTGAACATATGCAGACATTCTACTAGATGGTATTTGTTTTGTTTTGTTTTTCTTTGAGATGGGGTCTCACTCTGTTGCCCAAGCTGGAGTGCAGTAGCAGGATCTCGGATCACTGCAGCCTCTGCCCCTCAGGTTTAAGCAGTTCTCCCACCTCAGCCTCCTGAGTAGCTGGGATTACAGGGGTGCACCACCACACCCAGCTAACTTTTGTATTTTTAGTAGAGACGGGGTTTCACCATGTTGGGCAGGCTGATCTTGAACTCCTGACCTCAGGTGATCCACCCGCATTGGCCTCCCAAAGTGCTAGGATTACAGGAGTGAGCCGTCGCTCCTGGCCTGGATGGTGTTTTGCTCACTAAGTAATACAATTGTTGGCCACACTTTCCAGTGGTATATTTAAAGTATAACTCAGACAAAAGTTCTATCAATTTCATTTTCAAAACAATAGTGAAGATAAATGGCTTATGCTTTAAATTAATGTTTTTTAAGATTAAAAATAATCTACCTTATCCCGGTTCTTTGCTTTAGAGCACTCGACAGAGGAGATACACTAGACTGGACAATACATTTTCTATATTGTTTTGATAATATGCTTATTTTAGAAATTATGGCTTTATATTCTACTTTTTAAAGAAAATATTTAAGATGGCTTTCTTAAATAATTTGCAAATTTGAAATGATTACAATTTCAGCAATGCAAATGTTATACTTTTAAAGTATTAAATACTAGCACATTTAATTGTGCATTTCTATGATTACTTGGTTACTCGGTTAAATTCAATTTATAACTCATGCTTGCAGGAACTCAGATTTTGCAGCATCCTTTTAAAAATTAGGAGACGTCTAATGTAGACATTGGGTAATGGGTTCATTCCAAAGCAACATTTTTCTTCTCAATGTAACTGCCTGTAACACGGACAACAAGCACTTAATATGTTACCTGAAACTACACTCTGTGTTTTCTTGGGTTTTAATAGAATTAGTGAATCCACTTATAATATTTTTATATAACAGCATTTACAATGATAGTCACCACTGTATAATGTTTAAAAACTAGATTTGTGGATTTAGGTAAACTGAGCTTTTACTTCTGCCTCCAACATGCACTCCTTCTTCCCAAGGTTAATGTTAATCCTTCAGTAGCTGGTTAATTAACCTAAAAGTGAAAAATAACCAAACTAGATTCATAAGATTGTTGTGAGAATTAAATCAAACAATTCATATAAAGAACAGAGTAAACATTCAATATACTATATAGTGAACGTTCAATAAATTTTAAGTGTTACTGATGGCAAATTATCAGCTAAGACCCATTTACTAATACATTATAAATGCTGTCATGAAAATAGAGGTTACTGTCTTAAGTAACTTAAGCTAAACAAGTAAATCTAAAAGAAAATAAACTGTATTTTGCATAGAACTTGACACAGTTGCAGAAACTTTCAGAATTTCTTTAGAAATGGAAAGGAATTACCTGCTAAATCTAATTAGAATCTAAGGGATTAAATTTTGAAAAAGGTAGAACCACTGCAAACAACTTTTTATTAGTCTAGAAGCTTCTAAAACAAACTTGTCCAACCTGTGGCCTGCGAGCCGCATGCAGCCCAAGATGGCTTTGAATGTGGCCCAACACAAATTCTTAAACATTCTTAAAACATTATGAAATGTTTTCTGTTTGTGTGTGCTTTTTTTTTTTTTTTTTTTTTTTTTTTTGCTCATCAGCTATTATTGTTAGTCTATTCTATATGTGGCCTAAGACAAGTATTCTTCTTTCAGTGTGGCCCAGGGAAGTCAAAAGATTTAAATTTTGGAGACTAAAACTTAATAAAAAAGATGTAAATTGCATATTTATTTTATAGTAGCAGAATAACCTACATTAGAAGATTTAAAAATTCCATCCATGTTTAGAATATCTTTAGCTTGAAGGCACAGAATCAGAAAGAATAATGAGAGGACAAGTAGATGATGTGTGGAAGACTTTTTAAGTTTGGTCAGTTTGTCATAAACAACTTAGATTATGCCTTAAAGGAATAAGATTGTATTCCCCCAATTTTAATGATCCTCAATAATGAATTGAGTTTTGATTATTTTAAGGCTGTCTGATGAAGCTTGCTTCACTTTAGTAAATACTTTCACCTTTGAATTTGGGGTTTGTTTTGCGATTTAGGTTGCTTGATGATTCTAATTAATTAAAAATTATCAGCTAATTATTACTGAAAGCCACTGAAATAGAGATTTATTAGATTTCATTATTAGATATATACAAGTATACATATACAGTATGTGTGTGTGTGTTTGTGTGTGTGTGTTTGTGTGTGTGTCTGTGCATAAAGGTTTGAGGGATTTTGTCAGAATTTAAGTATGGCTACTCTTTCTGCTAAATTTGAACATATTGCTTAAGTAGACACCAAATTTGGAATCCCTCTTCTACTTCTAATGGTCAATTTTTTTGTGCCCTATATTTTATTCATTTTTTAAGAGTTACTTCAAGTCTCCAAAACTTTAAGTAAAACAAAGTCTATTGTACTGAAATACAGTTTGGAACAAGGGACTTCTTCTTGCAGCTCCCATTTCTATAGTGACCACACAATAATCAGTATCATCAAATGCTAGCATTTTAGCTCAGAAATGTGGTCTCTTTGTGTCTTATTTCCCAAGTTTTTAAAAGCAGATAATCAGGAATTTTTAGACGTCTTTAGTTTTGTCGCCAGTATTGTAGACTCTGGATTTTCACACAGTAAGTGCTGAAGTCAATGAGATTCAGTATTCACAGGGGGTGCAAGTGAGGCCTGCAGCCTGGCATGAAAATGGAGTTCTAGTACACAATTCATTCTTTATGACACCTCAGAAAGTGGTGTGAATCTCATTTCTAGGCATTAGGTACCAGGATTTGTAACTCAAACCTTTTAAGACTTCTGAACAAATATTACTAGGAAATAGCAAGGTGAGGAGGTGGAGATGGGAATAACAACTTGAAAATCAAGTTCAGTTAAGAATGAAACTATAGAGTACCTGGACTTTAGACTCTTAAAAAATAAAAGCACTTGACTACGTGTTAAGTCTGTGTTCCAGTGATGTGACAAATTAAAGCTACTTGTAACATGACGGATGGGGATGCACTGACGTTACCGGAAGTTTAATGCTGGAAGGCATCCCAGGTATCCATGCTAACCTAAACCTTACAGAGGGAGAACTTGAGGTATAGGGTAGGTTTGAGGATTTGTAGAAGTACAGTTAGAGGATATGATGGGATAAGATTCTAGGTCTCCTTATTCTCAATCACTGATTTTTATTAAACTGCACAAGAAATACATCTTGAAAATATAAAAATGTTTACTCCTATATATTGCTGAAATAATTCATGTTACCTGAAGTTGTATTTGTCAGTCTTCATCTCTATCCGTATTCTTCTAACTTTATGGATGAACTGCTTTCTAATTTCTCATTCTTGCTCTCACCTCTCTCTCTAATTTATTTGCACCTGAATTCTCTAAATGGAAAAAAAAAATCCAAAACTTAGAACATGGGATTCCTTTATTTACAGTGAGTACAGTTTGAATGAGATACGTTATTGCTATACTCACACTTCATCATAAAATAATCAATTAAATGCCTCAATTATTTTTCATGCAGAAAAAGTCCATCAATATAGGGCAAGATATTCTGGTATTCTAAATTTCGAATAGAAATTACAACCCATGAGTAACATCAATACTAATTTAATTATGCATTTTTAATCATAGTTAAATTCACACTTACAGACATACACAGTTATTCTTCTACCAGGCTAAAAATACTTTAAAGGAAAAAAAATCTATGAATGACTAAGACATTAGATTATTCAGTAGATTTTTTTAATAAAGGGGAAGAATTTCAGCTGTTTTGTTTAAAAATATGGTTTCAATATTAAATATTGTACTCCTATTCTGAAAATATTACAGCTAAATTTTTTCTGTTCCTCCGCACACACAAAAATAAAACCTGTTTCTTGCACAATAAAGCTGCCACTGAATTTACTATATTAAGTTTTGGGTGTTTCTGTACTTGGACTTCGAGGTCGCAGTAATTGAAGTCCTGTGGCATTCCTTCCAGCTCTTTGCTCTTCTGAAACAATTGGAATTAGTTAGACCAGCCCAACTTCATAAACTCAGGTTTAATAAGGTGTTTGTAGAAACTTGCTGTTCACTGCATGGGATTCAGTCTCTTCCAGTATGTCTATGATGGTCAGCTTGACAGTTAGCTGTCATGCATCTTTTCACTTTTCTTCCCTGATCTCCCAAGTACTAAACTATATTTGGTCACCGGTAACTGTGGCTATTCATGACTTTTTTCCAACAGAAAAATACTTTCTTGTTTTTGCAAGTGATAGTGAGCATTACTGAAGGAAAAAATACGTTAAATTGCATAGAAAAAAAAAGTGGTAGCTCTATGTAAAAAAAATTGATCCCCATCATAATCTATAATGATAGAACATAATTGGCATAGCCGCCCTAGAGATAATAATGTGCAGACTACAGTTGGCTAATTTATGGTAGCAGATGTGTTCCTCTCTCAAACAAGCATGAGCATAATAAAAAATGAATTGCATTTCATAAGCTTGTACTATGTGCTAAACATCAGCCTAAGTGCTTTACAAGCATTATCTAATTTAATGCTCATAACAAATTTCCTAGGCAAGTATTACTATGCCCACATTTTATATAAGAAGACTACAACTTAGAGGAAATACACAAAAAGTTATAGGGCGAACGAGTGTCAGAGTCAGGACCCAAACACAGGGAAGCCTGCCTCCTAAATGGTCTTTATAAGGTATTTTTGTATATGTGTTTCCCCACGTGAAAGAACCCTCCATTTCTAGGAAATGCCAATAGGTCTGTGGATATTACAGCCTGGGCACTGCCAAATTAGGTGCAGAGT